GAGGAAGATGGTCTGTTGGCTCTGTTGGTAGACAGTTCTGTTGAGTCTATTGGGAGCCAGTTCCGAAATGTAGTTGGCAAATTAAGGACTAGTTATTTTTACAATTGAAATCCATATTTACCGTATCCTCACCATATCCTTAACTATTTCAGAATTCAATTCGGCACAATCTCTCGTTGCATTCGCGTTTTATGCGTATCCAGAATGAAGGTGCCGGTAAATCGTCATGGTGGGTGATTAACCCGGATGCCAAACCCGGACGAAATCCGCGACGCGTACGTGCTTCGACACTTGACACCACCAGCAAGGTACGGTACTGCTGTGAAGTCCTTTAAACTTCAGAGTTTTTGATTGTGACCTTTTCTCTTATGGATCACCCGTCGAAAATTGAAGTTCGGTCGCTGGTTAATCAATTGTCCATGTTATTCCCGAAAGTTCGCGCTTGATCCTTTGATCGATTTATTGATCGGCTTAGTGTCGTGGTTTTCGTTGTATTACGGTAGCACGTCCACTATAAAAATGAAGTGGGAACAGAGTCTGTGCGATAAGGTAATGACATCAGTCTTGATAACGACTGCAGAGATGCTTTTGGGTCTATAGGGGCACAGTTGCGACTTGGTGGGGGCAGGAACCACCTGTAAATTCCTGTGACTGCAGTTGTTCACATATAGTTTTCACGGCTTACAAGACTTTACAGGTCTCAACAAAATGTGACTTAGTTATCATGAACTAACAAAAGAAACTAGCGAAACTGTAGAATGCCCCTCCCAAGGCGAACAGCGTCATCGAGATCGATACTACCATTTTTTAATGTGGAATCGATCCCACAATTCCGATTATCCCTACGCTTGCTAATTCACCATGGCGTCATACTAATCCTCATGTTTTTGGGGCGCTTTAGAGCAGATTATTGCTAGTAACCCTGGGAGTTATACTCTAAAACCCGGTAGTGCGTTGTTGGGGAGTCCTGACAGATCAGGCGAAGGAATTCTGGGAGGAGATCCTACTGGGCTTTTTGACAAGAAGGGCTTCGCAATATATTAGTCCTAGACCGTAGATCCCAAAGTATGGCCAGTACCCTGGCTCGGCCCATCGAAGCGATCTTTGGTTTAGCGCCTGGGAAAAAGCGATCGGCGATGTTTTTCATCGTCGACAATGAAGTTGAATTTGCATGCGAAATGGGTAGCGTGGCGTGAACGTCGTGCCTGTGCCATCAGGCATAACTTTACTGCCGTGACGCCACCGAAGGCGTTGTGTCAGGCAGCCGCGGCACGGGAACCCGTACAACGCAGTAAAGCTCGAGAGTGGCAACTGTCACATGACGAGTAAAGTTTTTACCTGGAAGCGCTACACCGCCTGTCGAGGGTTATCTCGAGCAAGTTTGCTTGCAGGTCTTCAGGAGGATATCTGTGAGATTCAAGGGCTAACTGGGAAATGATTTGGTTCTGGAGGTGAGGCTAAAGCAGGTGCTGAATACCAAAATAAGGCCAAAGCTGGTGCTAAATACTCGGAGCTCTCATCCGGGGTGGTTTACGGTGACATAGGGACAACACTTCTCCCTTGTGAGGTTTTCCGGATCTTGTGGAGTCCACAGGAGGTTTGGGGTCCGAGTACATAAAAAACACAGGTACTATCGATCAGCTGAATGGCTATCCATCTAAAATATCTGTAAATTATGACTGGTTTTACTAGAGACAGCTGTTCACGCCCCCATACCCGTAAGAGAGGAAAGTGCTAGAGTGCCAGAAGGTTATCTGGGGAAGTTAA